ATGCTGAAATGTCCCAGCAATGTCAAAGTTCAAATTGCACAGAGGATAAAACTCCCACCTATATCCCAAGGAGATCAATATTAAAACATACAAGCAATGCTATACCTCTGGGCATACCTACAACAACAGCTAGGTGAAATATTCTTTAACACAAATTATCATGACTTCTAAATAATGGCATGATTACAGGCTAAGAGAAAAGAGGTCAGTGTGTCATTTAAATTGCTCATTCTGCTTACAGGAGCAAAACAGTTGCAAATCATTTTGAACAGCTTGCGCAGTTCTATGTGTATTTAAGTTTAAGCACTGAAGTGAGGCTTTGTATTTGAGCAAAAGACGTAAACAACAAGGTTTTACCTTGCATATTCAGTGGAAAAGCACTGGTGAAGAAAAATGGCTGAAACGCTGGCATGGAGCCCATCTGATTGCAGTTCAGCTGCTGAGGTATGGACTGCTGTCTGCCACTGCTGGCCGACACCGATGAGCTGGGGTTCCCATTAGGGGACAGTAAGGTAGAACAGACTGGTCCATTCTGAGTTGTCTTGTGTGGGTGCTCACTGTGGTTCGAATGACTGGAATCCAAGGTAGTTCCGTTCACAGATCCCAGAGAACTGGGCTGGAGGCCATTCTGTTCAGCCACTGGTATGTATGCGCTCTCTCTCGGTATGCTGGCATCAGCAAAAGGGTTCCGTTCCTTCTCCATGGCTGGCAAAGGTGCCTGCTCACAATGGGATACTTCCGAGGTGCCAACCGTTCCATTGTGCGATGGGACATGAGCTTCTGGAATCAGGCTAGGCTTTTCCGTCTTAACATAAGGGAATGGAGGATTCACAAGGTAATTTGGAATAATTGGCAACTCCACCTCTGTCAATTCCTCTATTTCATCTTCTTCCACTGTGAATCAAAGTCAAACAGACACTGGACTAAACTGTGTTAAGCACAGAAGAGCTATGTATGTTATCAAAGCAAATACAATAACATGGCACAAGTACAGATACGATTGATGTTCAACTCAAAAGTGCTTAAAACTTAACTTCTAATTAATATCTCTAAAAAAGTCTCGAATTACAATGGCTAGATGACCTGCATAATCCAATGCCATTAATTGCACAGTAATGTTAAACACAACGTGCTGCATATTAGAGCTGCATGAACCATTTGGATTGACTCTTCTTGGTCATGCTGCAGGAGAGCTGGCTGTGCTGAATAAGCACCATAAAATAAAGGTCAGATGCTTGGGTTTGCATCAATTTATACCTCAAGGGAAGAAATTAAAACAACCCTGCCAAATATGGGAGAAGAATATTTTTTACATACCAGAAATTCAAGTTTTATTCATTGGCTCTAATCAAACAAAAAGTCTTCAATTGAAATTGTTTTCAATCAACACGTTTCTCAGTTTAGTCTGAGGAACTTGTTTTTCTGCACCCCTTGGAAAGTCATGAATCAGATTTATTTTTATTTTTTGCCAGAAACACTATCCAAATAACTGTTTGAGAGGATCAATTTTACTGGTCTAAAATTTAATACAGCACATTAAGTGAATGTAATACTACCAGAGGAACTTGCACTTGGTACTAAAAACTAAAAGTCTCTCTGTATTTAACTGCCTGCAGATTTTTGCTAAATGGTTCTTCAGTTAAACTATTATGACTTGAAGTATGAAACTATAATGTACCAGTCATCAGCAAGCAAGGCCAGAGAAACATTTGATCAAGAGCACAATGTTTAAAAAGCTGTGGGTTTTTCTTTGCAAGTAAATACGCATGGGATATATTGACTGCTCCCAAAAATAACTTGACAAGAAGTTGGAATGTTGTGCAGAAACAATGTAAAATTAGATGCAAGTCTTGCTGCACTGATTAAACTGTCTTAGCTGTGTTGAGACAGCTGACAAGTCTGACCCTTGACTGAAAACAGAAGAGCACACGCCAATCCATCACAATTCTGGTTTTGTTTTCCTGGAATTCAGGGTTGCTGGATCTCAACATTAAGGCTTTTCATTCTGTGTTGGGGATTTTTAGATGCGATTTTTGGCTTACCTCCTAACAGTTTTCTGATGTCACGTCTTGAAGTGAGCTGTGCTGCCTTTTCTCCTTTGGATGTAAGGACTTCTGTGTCAGCTCCCGAGCTCAAAAGGTAGGCCACGATTTGCCGGTGGTTCCTCTTGCACGCCCAATGCAGACAGGTCCTAAAGAAAGGAATAAAATCCACTTGCAGACATTTAACCTACCCCGAAACCAGGCTTGTAACAGGGAAATGAGAAGGGTGTCGATATGGACTATTTAGGACAGTACTTAAAGAACTTTCTTTTGGACCATACTAACACCACATTTACCAAATGATTAGTAAAGTGGATGGTAATGTGGCACAAAGGTTAACTCTACTGCCTTGCAGCGCTGGGTCCCTGGGTTCAATTCCTGAGGTGGTTTCTGCATGGAGTTTGTACGTTCTCCCCATATTCGCCTGGGTTCTTCTCACAGTCCACAGATGTACTGATGGGTTAATTGGTTTCTGGGAAAAATTGGTCCCAGAGTGTGAATGTGTATGTTTGCCTGGGTGTGCCCTGTGATGGACTGGCATCCTGTCCAGGGTGTATCCTGCCTTACACCCGTTACTTGTGGAGACAGGCTCCAGCATTTTCCACGACCTTGTACTGGATAAAGCGGTTAGAAAGTGGATGCGTGGACTATGTAAACCTGTCACTTTTATCCAAAGCATCTAACTGAGACTTAACACTGAAATATACTTGAACAGCTGCTTCTGTACAGCAAAGTATGACAAAGCCTCTGCTTAAGAGCCCAGTTGAAGGACAGAGCACAAGAAAGCTCTGTGACTCCCCTGAGGTGACAGAGGCCTCCATAAAGCTAAGCTGAGAAGGGAAAATGTGCAGTTTGATGTCATTTTTGTCAAACTCTCATCTGTTCTATGAGAGCTTTGTGTTGTGAATAGGATAATGTAGGTCTAACTCTACCTCCATAATCTAAAACAAAACCACATTGCTCTGAATCTTTGCAGAAGATGGATAATAAAAATCCTGCTATATCACATTTTTCTTTCGCAAATTGTTTTTGCTATCGTCTCAATAATTAGATTACACTGATGTGAGGGCTACAATAAGTTTATTGTTAATTACCAATAATTCTGATTTTCAGAAGACAAAAAAAACATTTTTTGGTATATTTGTATATACTGTCTATGTAAAGTCTGTATTACTTAAATCATGTTTAAAGTTTACAGCAAGTTTCTTGCTGCAATGTTAGATTTTATAATACAACAAAAATGAAAACTGCATCACTATTATTTAATATAGTTTAAGACTGTATAATACATCTTAATATTTTCTGCACAAAACTGCAATAAGAAAGTACAGTTCAGTTAAAAATTATTGGAACCACCTATATTATTGTTCAAACTTCAAGAAAGCTGGTAATACTACCAATTAAAGTTTTCGTTCTCTGGCATTTAGAAACGCAATCAAAGTCACTACTAATTAAATGTGATTCCTAAAGTTCATATTCATTTTATATTAGAAGGCAGTTTCTAAAATATGGGTGATATATCTGCAATATAAACTGCTTAAGAATAAGTTACTTGATTAGTTACACGTTCAAGGGTTCAAAGCAGGTCCTTGGCAGAACTGCACGTCGAAGAAAATATATGAAATTTTGAAAAATGTTCTCAGACCTCACTGTGTTTTAAGACGTGAAAGATGGCAACAGTGTGTAAGCGATGGCATTATCTGTAGTTCATTCTTGGAATATTTTCGTATTCTAATTCTCGGAATTGCCTAAGCCGGCATAACTTGGTGGTACCGTTGTTATCGCACAAACGAACCGACCGAAATACACACACGAGCAGCCAATCTCGAAACTCTCTCATTTATTCGGAGCTTTAGCGGTTATTAACTCCTGAACATCCACCCAACGTGGGCAACGTGCTTATATTCGAACAATCCCGCTAAACCACAACAATTAATATTACTGAAAATAATAATCGGGCCCACGTAACCAAAACGAAACATTTAACTGATCTGCACATTTGATCTTTACTCCGATCAGATTTCTGCCTCTACCGTCGTAAAATATCGCATGCGTTATTTATCCCACTAACTGGATTACCCGGTATTATTAAAGGCGATATACAGAACTCTAAGTGGAGGAGGAAAACACAATATAACACAGTCATACAACGTACCATCCATTTATTTCGTTTTGCGAATTGATGTTAACTCCCTTCTCCACTAATGTTCGTACTTCATCAATATCCCCGATCGCAGACGCTTCTCTCAGACGCTCTTGCAGTTCCTTATCCATCGAGGGGCTTGTCATTTTTACCACAGTCTGATGTCTTCATGAAAGGAAAGAGCGATCGATGTACTTTTCCTTTCTGACAAAACAACCTTTTTTTTCCGCCAGCGATCGCCCACTATATCGGAGCCGTATTAAACACGCTCAAAAAGATGCACCGTGTATCCTAGTAAGGCCTTTTCAAACTAAAGTTGTTCATTTTGAATCCACCAAAAGTTTATAAAATGTCAACCCGTGCCAAGCCGTTTTTGACTGCCTCCCGGTGTCCAGTAAGTCGCCGTTGCGGTATAAACTACTCCTCCCATGGGGTGCAGCTTTAACTGTAACAACGCTAGGCTGCAACTTTAGTTCCTACCCTGACAATGCTTCCGGAGAAAGACGGCTTCAGTTTGCTGCAATTATTACTACTCCACTTTATTTTTGGAACAGACGTACTATTTGCTGGTGCCTTGTGATAACAGAGATTTGTATTGCCAATTTGTATACAATGCACAAGGTCTGGCTTTAAAATTACTATTCTGTGATGTCCATTTCCAGAGCGAGCGATTATAATGTTTGCTCAGTTCTAAGTGTAACTAGGTAACAATACACCCCTTAGAAAACAACTTCAATTTTGACATTCATAAGTCAGTTTTTCTTTAAAATTTAAGATCAGATGTTTAGGCTTGTAGGCTCTACTGCCGCTATCTAGTTACTGCTCTGCATGAAGAAGGGGCATTTTTAAATAAAGATGTATAATTTGCAAGTGTTTGTTTTTGTAGAATTTATTAATGTACAGGCTTCAGCATGTATTCAAATGTCTAAATTTTAAAAATACAGGATCGTGTACGTTGAAGCGCATTTGTAGTTACAACTCCCAAGGACATTACATAACGTGACCACCGTTTTTGCTTATTGTCGCTGTCCACGACAGCATGTTCTCTGTGATTCTAGATGTACCACATTTCATTAGCCCAAGGGACATTGTTTTAAAACAAAGGTATCTGAACAGGCCAACAAGTTTAAAACAAGCTTCACCTTAATGAAGTAGCCTCGACGGGTCCTCGGCAGTAGGGGGCGTTCGTCTGTAACCGGCGAGAGACTATTTCTTCTGTTTCTGTACTACAGTACAGGTCTTCCACAGTGGGGGGCACTAGCGTCTGATATGATGTTTTAAACATTTTTATTGCAACAATAAAACATAAACAATACACAATGGAACATATAACATCATCCGGGTTACATAATATAGTGGCATTTTATAAAAAAAATATTAATTTAAGTAAATACATATGAGGTATGCACAGCTTACGCGTTCCTATGTTTAGAAATGTAGAAATAGGTTGGAAACATGCCCTTACATCTATTCTGCAAATTGTTCAAATGGGGGTCTCTTCCCAGACCATTTAATTGAATGCATATAATAAAGAGGAAGTATAATGATAACGTCAATGACCAACGATATTTTTGTATTTGTTTTCAAGGAGATTAAAAATAGCATAGCTTCTGTTTCTCCAAAAGAAAAGCCGATATTAGAATCCATCTTTATGTCATTTTGCAGATCAATCCAAAATGCTTATCAACAGGACATAACTAAAACAAATGTAAAGTTTCTGGGCTGCTTTTGCAAAAGACAGTTTTCGTCTATATTGACATTAATCCGATGCGTCTCTCCCATGCAATCGGCTCATTGTAGGTCATCCACAGTAGGGGGGCACTAGTCTCTGATCGGACAGGTCTCTCCTGAGGGAGCGACACTTCTTCACGCGCCGGCGGTGTGTTGTGGGTACGGGCTGCTGGGCTGGCGGCCATTTTGTTGGTTAAATCGGATCACTGCGGGAAGAAACGAGTGAGGGAGAACAGAGGAAGAGAGAGAAGGCAAAAAAAAGAATAATTATCGCAATATAAAAATGCTTTCCGCCGCCCAGTTACTTGACGAGTTAATGGGCCGAGATAGAAACTTGGCCCCGGATGAGAAACGAAGTAACGTTCGCTGGGATCATGAGACGGTGAGTTTTCTTTTTGTTGTTCTTTTCATTCAGTCGACATAGTCCGGGGAAAAGCGGGGAAGCCAGAGCTGATGGGTAGGCACATGCAGCGGGGGAGTGGTGGGCGAACGGTGGTGTTTGTAACAGTCACTGGCAGCCCATTTTGCTTGGCAGCGCCGGGCCGGACACGGTTACAACCCTTCGTACTTAACCGTGGTCGCCGGAGTTCGCCAGGCTGGGCAGTCAAATACCAACGTCTCGCCGCTCGGTTTATCTCGCAAAGGATGTCCGTCCTCTAGCACTTTTCTCCGAAGCTACTGGAGCGTGGTGCTCGTTGTTAATAATATTAAACGGGATTGTTTTAGTTTCCGTTCCGTTTTTTTTTGTTTCTAATTAAATTGACTACTAAGCGGCGTTTCTGTTTAAGCAACGTGCACTTTGTCGTGGTTACTGTGCTTTAAGGGCATGGTAAGGTACCGGTCTGAAGTGAGCGGCCGGACGGTAACTAGGCCGTTTCCTGCGGGCTCGTACTCCGTAGTGCGCCTCTAGGCCTGCCTGACCCATGAAGAGCGGATAGGAGGGTGGCGATCACAGCAGAGGTCTGTTGAGGACACAACGGGGAAAAAAAAGTCAAAACTAGGTGCATTGTTTCAGATCAAAGTTGTGCTAAAAAGAGGAGAATTACTGTTGGAACTTAAACGTTTATCTCGGACATTTTGCATTGATTCGCTCATCCATTGCTTTTTTTGAAAATCTGACAGTTTATGTAGCTATTTTTCACTTGGAAACCTCACTGGTAGCTGGTCTACCAACTTGCCTTTTCTAAGCATTCTTATTGTGACCACGCTGCGAGTCATAATTATTTTTGTTTTCATAGGTTTGCAAATATTACCTGTGTGGCTTTTGCCCTGCGGAATTATTCACAAATACACGATCTGACTTGGGTAAGCTTTTTCTACTAGTATTTTTTACTAGTATACTAGCCTTGATATTCTGTATTCCGTTTGATGTTTTTTACGACGCTGAGAGAATTTCAAGAACGATTAGAAGCAGATATGTAAGTTATATCTTTTAACTTTTTGGCCCTTTACCTTATCACTATGTTCAGCGTCCTTAGGTTTGGAAATGTGCTTTTGAAATTAGTTTATTATTTAGGTGTTCTGTGACCATGACTGTTCATCTTGCAAAAAATGTAACTTTTTTTTCTTTATAGGTCCTTGTGAAAAAATCCACGATGAAAATCTTAGAAAACAGTAAGTCTAGTTACTTATTGAAAACCATGTTAGTGTATTCTTTCATTTTTTGTCCTCCAGCTTTACTTTTGTTTTGTCCTGTAGGTATGAGAAAAGCTCCCGGTTCATGAAAGAAGGTTATGAAAGGGACTTCCTCCGTTATTTACAGAGCTTGCTGGCTGAGGTGGAGCGGAGAATTCGCAGAGGCCATGCTAGACTGGCTCTGTCTCAGGCTCAGCAGAATTCTGGAGTGAGTGTGATCTGCAGTTTAAAAAGACACCCACACATCTGCTTTTGAAACCTATTATTTCTGCCTCTCTTCTCTTGATCCCTTGGTTTGTATTCCCAGTTTAGTGTGTTTTTGGGGCTCTTTTAGGGTGGAAACAAGTGTCACTTCACAGTTGTTGTGCCACCTCTGTCTAAATTACAATTTGACAAAAATGGTTAAAATACCTCCCTTGTTCTTGAGAGCCGGAGTAATACAAGTTTGACAACTTTGACATTCTTGCAAGTATGGGTTTTTGGACACAATTGATTTAATTTTAGACTTGTTGAATATAGCTAACATTCGTTTAGTGACATGTTTTTTCACTTGATTTCACATCTAGAAAAACTTCAAGACTTGAAAGTTGAAAACATTTCTTTAAAAAAATGAAAGTTTATATTTAAAGGAAAACATCAGCTAGTTATTTCCATATCATCCAGATTTGTTGTGTATATTTGCAATAAAAACGTTGTCTGTGTGAACTCCTTTAGATCATTTGTAAGTTTAGTATTAATGAAGCACAGATAGAGCCAGCTATGTTTTTAGGGTCATCTCTACACATCCTTTGCACTTCTTACGAAGCATACGCCTTTATATCTTTCTTTGAATTAAACTGTCATGAATAAATGTTACACTTATGACACTTTGCACCTTTTATCTCATAAATATATGCAAGATTAAAGTATTTTCTTATAAGCTTTTGGTGTCATTTGTAAACTAGTTGAACAAGATGTCCTGTGCTTTGATAAGGTGTAGTGAAATGTTTTGTCATCTTTTTCGGATTAACATTGTAAAACAAACCTGTCAATGCTGACAGCTATGCTAAAACAACTGAATACATGCACACTAATTTACTGTTTTTAGTTATTCTCTAATTTTAATGGGTAGCCAAGTGCAAATATCTGCCTAAGAGCATCTCTAAATTGCTCAAATTGTTTATTAAGTTGTATATTGTAGGTTTTAAACAGTAAAGTTAAATTGTTTAATGTCAACATAAAGTAGCTTTGAGTAGGTACGACTTAAATAGGATCAAGTCAGCTCAGTAATAGACTCAGGGGTTAGCAAATGAAAGACAGTTGGAAAAGTTGTTTCTGAAGGGAAGCTTAAGCTGATAAAATTCTATGGAGAAAAGACGATAAAAGATACATGGAGACTTTCTCAGAATCTGTGAAAGAGATACTGAAAAAAGACATACTGACTCATCACCACTTTGAGTTCTCTAAAGAACCTATAGGATTTGTGCCTTTAACACACCACCAGCTAGTCTGGATAACACTGGTCCAACTGCTGCCAGCTGTATCAGGAGAGTTCAGGAAATAAGGTTATAGAAAAAGATAGATGTAGAACAAGCGGAGGTAAATAACATTCACATTAAAGTTCTTTCTTAATTTAGAATTTGCACTTATTCTTGTATATGTGTACAGTTTGTACAATTTGGCCAATTGGTGTATTGGTGCCAAGCTATGAACCCTGCCTCCTTGACCAGGGGAGACTAAGGAAGAGTAGATAGACTCCTCTGACCTACACACATTCAAGCCCATTGTATTTTCACACGCCACTGACTAGGCTGCCCTTGCAGGAGGTTCAGAGCTGAAGGAAGCAGTTACATCTACCTCCCCATATAATCACTTCTAAGACATGTCAGCACTATCCTAGTGATTTGAAGCTTATTGTGGACAAGAGTTATGAATTTATTTCAAATGTTGAAATGGTTGTAGCTATTATACATTGACTGATTTCAAATTATCTTCCATATGAAACTGGGCTTCTTAAATGTCAGTGTTGGATGCGTTAGTGATTTTTTAGAAATGGTTATCTGCATCTTTGGTATTCACTCATAAACATAACTAGAAAGGCTTAAGAAATAAAATAATTGTTTCTGGTGGTAGAGTTAGACATACTAGACTAATATGTTCTGGTCACTAAGTTGAACAGTTGTATTGATTGGTTCTTATGATCTAATATCAGATGTAAGAAGAAAATATGAAAATAAGCAGTGACCTGAAAATTTGTTGTGCATTTTGAAAGTTGTAGGTTAATCTCAAAATTGGCATATCTTGACATATGTATGCATCAAAATAAATTTTGTAGACTTAAATGATTACATATTCTACATATTTACAGCATTCTATTTGTAGTGCTTTTATCTTATTTGTATAAATTAATTGTAAAAGATATTTCTAAAAAAGTGATGGTATCAAACCTCCATTAATATAGCTATAACAGCATCTTGCTGGACTTCTGCATGTACATAATATTAATTGTGTAACTTATTTTGTTGTAATACTTGTGTGGGGGCATATCGCTATATTTTAGAAAGTGCTTAATCTTTTATAGTGTGATATTGCTTAATTAAATAGTCACAAAATCATTGTCCCTGAATTTTATATAGAGAAAGCTTTGCATAACAAGCTCTGTTTTCCTGGTCTAATGGGTATTACCAAAGTGTTTTTTTTTTTGCTTCAACGGCTTAGCTAGCTCAACATTTAGTGGCACTGCAGTCTTAAAGCAATTGTAAACCTAATTTTTTTTCTTTCTTCAGGCACCAGGACCATCGGGGAAAAATGAGGAAAAAATACAAGTGCTGACGGAGAAAATAGAAGAACTTGTACTTCAGGTTTGATTTTTTACCTATTAACACCTTAAAAAGAAACTAAAAAAATGATTTTCCATTATGATGTCTTTTTTCATCATAATGCCTCTCATTGATAAACAACAACAGTTCCTATGCAGATTTCAATGTATGTCAAAGCTTTTTGGTAAAATCAATGCAACATGGTGGATTTGTGCTTTGTTTCAAAATTGAGTTCAGAAGAAAAAGTAGTTGACATGGACAGCTTTTTATACTCAGTTTCAGAACATTTAGTAGCTGGAAGCCCTTCATTTGGTCTTTTCAAACCAGATACAATGAGGAATGCAGTATTGAGTGGCAGTAGGCAGCTGTGATCATATGGTACATTTTGAAGAGTAATTCAAAACTACATGTAGAGTGCAATTTTGTTTTAGTTTTTAGGAAAACAGTCAATGAGGTAATTTGAGAACAATAGAAGTGCTATAGTCAGTATAGAATGGATGGTGGTAATTTAAAGAAATTTAGTTTGAAGCACATAACAGACTAAATGAACAAAAAACTAGGAAACTGTTAAGTAAAATATTGAAAAACAAACTTCCTAAAATTAAAAAAATACTGTTTGGTTAAAGAATATAGTAAAAGTAAGAAATATCCACAAAACCTGAAGAGAATTTTTTTTTTAGTGAAATACTAAATGATTAAAAAAAACTGTGTGGCTATGAAAGGGAAATATTTGACTGAGGTTTTTACCAAGGGAGAATCAGCAATATTCCTCAAGCGAAGCATCACTAACATCATATAGTAGTTAGTATTAGTGTAGAAGGGGAAAATGTTTTATGGTTATTAAAAGGGTTTAAAAAATGTCTAGGCCTTAAAGTGTTCTACTAGTGGTACTTAAATGTTATTCGCAGACCATTTATGAAAGTCTTCCAGCATTCACTAAGCTTGGGGGTAGTACCCAGATATTAGAAAATTGTAAATGTTCTGAAGAACTGAACTTTTATAGTCTTGAACAAAAAAGGGGGGCCTAACTTCAGATATTCAAAATCATCTTCAGAATTAACAGAAAAGAGCTAAATAGAGGATACAAGTGGAAATTGGAGCTGTGACCTGGAGTCACTGTTTTGTACAAAGGCTTGTAACTAATATACAAGCAAGGTAGTAAGGCCATATGATCTCTTCTTGTTTGTAACTTTTGTTTTATTTGTAATTTTTATCTAGTTAGAAATTATAATTGAAACCTGTACCTGATGGTAAGGTCTAGTTTACTTTAAGATCTATCTCTTTCATTTAGATGGGGCTGTTGAATTTTGTAGTGTTAACGTTATGCCCAGATGGAAAATTGGAAGATGAAGAGGGCACTGGAATGTTAAAACAGTCTTTATTCTTTGGGCAGATCGAGGAACTGGGCTCAGAGGGGAAAGTGGAAGAGGCCCAGGGGATGATGAAACTTGTTGAACAGTTGAAAGACGAACGAGAGCTTTTGCGCTCCACCACCTCTGTGAGTATGTTAGGATGGGTTAAACTTTTTCATATAAATTTTTTAATTTTTAAAGATTTGTTTTTTTCCATACACTACAGATGAGACGCATTCTGATCTTCTTTTCTACGTCTTAAATAAATCTGAGACTTGTGTTTCATGTTGTATTTTTTCTCACCTGATGGTTCTGTAATATTAACTTTCAGAGTTGGAATTTATAGTAGACTGTGGCACAGTGGCGCAGTGGTTAGCATTGCTGCCCCACAGGGCAGGGGTCCCTGGGTTCAATTCTGGACCTGGGGTGCTATCTATGTAGAGTTTGTATGTTCATTGTCTTTGTCAATATGTAGAGACCTGATACAGTTAATTTTTGTTTCAGACAATTGAAAGCTTTGCTGCTCAGGAGAAGCAGATGGAGGTGTGTGAGGTGTGTGGGGCATTTCTCATCGTGGGTGATGCCCAGTCCAGAGTGGATGATCACCTCATGGGAAAGCAGCACATGGGCTATGCTAAAATCAAATCTACTGTTGAAGAGCTTAAGGTCTGTTGTAGGTTATTTTTTCTTCTCATAGATGGTATTCTGTCATGTTGTGGTTCTTTTATTTTACTTTCCAGAACCAAGCGAGTTGGAAAATTTTGCTTTGAAAGTTTTCAGGTCCTTATGTAGTTTTTACTTCGTTGCTTTAAAGCCTGCTGTTATGGTGAAGTAGTATTGTTTGTTGTATATGTTATCTTTCAGAAATGATCAAGTATAGAATAAGTAGACCATATGAAAGAAAAATGAACATTTCATATTAATGATTGCATAAGTATTTTGGTTCCTTTACCAAATCTAATTTAGGTCCACAAAATTAACAAATACTTGAATGGTTTTTGTGTGCAATAGTAGTGGATCATATGATTTCACAATAAATGTACCCTTCTTTATAAGGCCCTTTAGTCAGGTACTGAATTTGTGTCATTGAAGCCGATATTCTGGCTTCTTTCAAGACAGAAATGGATGAAAATTTTGGTATCAGTTAGCTAATCTCACATTTATGGTAGATAAACATTAAAATTAAAACAATCATAGTATGTTCGTTCTTCAGTTGCTTCGGACAGTGGTTCCCAATTCTGGTGCCAGAGGCCCACACATCTTAAACTCTTAATTTACATAATAGATTTAATTTACACTGTTTGACTTGATTTTCAGCTCTCAAATATGCAGGAGGTTGCCTTGTAACTGTTGCATTTCATAACATACAACCCCAGACCTATGAGTAGAAGTAATCCTGTGAGTATTCCAAGCAAGCACCTTGTTAGTTACATTAAGACTTTCATAAGGAAATTGAGATCTGATGGAATTTGTATGCGTATAGGCCCCCAGAACATGGATTTGTTCGTCCTGATCCATAATACTGTATATTTTAATTTGTAATTCAGGAAAAGCTCCGGAGGCGATCGGAAGATCCTGAGCGTGATGATAAAGGACGGAAGGAAAGAGAGGATCGGGAACGTGAGAGAGAGGAGAGGGAGAAGAGGCGACGAAAGGAGGAGGAAGAGAAAGAGAAGGAACGAGAGAAAGAAAGAGAGAAGGAAAAAGAGAGGGAGCGAGAGAAAGATCGGGAGAGGGAGAGAGAGAGGGAAAGGGAGAGGGAGAGAGAGAGAGATCGGGAAAGGCGTCGACGCAGTCACTCACACAGCAGACACTCAAGCAAAGCATCTGAAAGGAGACGCAGTCGCTCAAGAGATCGCAAAAGATCCAGGAGCAAAGACCGGGAGAGAAAGAGGAGCAGGTGGGTGTGCTGCAGGAAGTCTGATAAAGCTTGACTGTAAGGAGAGGAGAATCTATTTCTGCTTCTCAGAAACAACAACTTATTTTTCAAGGACTAAAAAGAATTGTTCTGCATTTGATAGGGTTTGTCATTATTGAGCAGTTAGATTTTACCACCCTTGCTTCTAAGGTATACAGATGGCAGTGCCTATTCTAATTCAGCACTTGTTCAACAGTCAGTGGTTCCAAAAGCAGAAAATATAATTCTCCAGTTTTAGAAAAAGCAAATCTTTCCCGTTCTCATCAATGTGGGTTTTCTTTGTGATGCAAACCTTCGTTCCAATGGTTTCCCAGGAGCAGGGACAGAGAGCGGCGTCGGAGCAGAGATCGCTCAGAGAGGAAGCACCGCTCCCGCAGCCGAGAGAGAAGGAGGTCCAGGAGCCCGGATCGAAAATCTCACAAGCACAGGAGCAGGAGTAGAGAGAAAGACAGAGAGAGGAGGTCCAAAGACAAAGGCAAGACTGTCCACAGAACTGCCCTCTTTCCTCTTCTTGCTTTCTTGTGTTGCACACCACTGTCAAGTTGTCAATGATTAAAGGAGCTATAGAATATATGGAATTTATTGATAAAGGATAGGCCGAGGGATTCTGAAACTGAAGGTGATAAAATTTACTTCCCATATTTCATATTCCTGCTTTTACCTTTTACCTTGAATAATCAATTTTTATTTTATAATAGTGAAGAACACTGTACATAACAGATTAGTGTTCATTTGCTTAGCGGTTTCATGGTAGAGTGTTTTAAGAACATTAGAGGCTCCAAACGAGGCCATCTGGCCCCTTTGGTAGGTAGTACCCTGTGATCCAGATTTTGGTGTTTTGTGTGTGATAAAGGAAGTATATGAAGGTTCCCACTGGAAATTCGATGTGCGTAAATATGGAAATTCCTTTTCTCTCTGTCAGATCGAAAAGATTCGGATGAGAAGAGGAGTAGCAAGAAGTCCAGCAGTGCTGAAAAGCCAAGTGAAGTTCCCAAGGCAGAGCCTATGGAGGTGGAGGCTCCAAAGTCAGAGATTAACGGCACAAGTGAAGACCTACAATCTGAAGGTGACACTCAGTCCAATTAAAACTGATCTGATAGGACCTCAGATCAGGCCGAGGTAAGTACAATCTCTCAACATGGGCTAGGCCTTTTTTTTTTGTTTTTGATTTTTTTCGTTTTTGATCGTGCAGCGTAAGTATGCACGGAAGAAGATGGAACTAAACCGATGAGAAGAAATAGAAAAAAACAAACCCAGAAGGGAAGGCCAGTGTAGCCCTGCAAAACATGTTGGAGGTACCTCATTTTGTATCGGCTATGTTATAACCGTTCATTAAAGAAAGGGCATTCCCAAAATATAATACAGATAAAATTCTGTGCCTCTACCTGTACTATAGCTAAACATATATTGTTAATTCACTCGCACCACTTAACAAGGACACTTGTGCCGGTTAATTGCAGTACTTCAGATTTGTTTTTTTTTTCATTGCTCAATTACCATTTAAAATTCTAGTCCGTTTTTTTTTTCCAATGACTTCCCGAGGCACATTTGAAGGAGTTTTGTTTATGAATTTTCAGTCTGCTAGTCTTGTAAATGACAAGGATGTTTTGCAGTTTTGTGCTTGATTGCCTTGCATTCTAATGCAGTTTGTTCTGAAACTCGAGAGCCGGTAGCATTGGGATGATGGAAGTGTAGGGTTTATGAATTATTGCAGCTGACTTCCATACCTCACACAGCGTTGGTGTTGTGAGCGACCCATGAAAAGCCAAATTAAAAATCAAGGATACTGTCAATCTGTGCAGGTACTCACCCCAGGTACTCCTTTCTCTACCCACATCAATGTCTGAATGCTGTTGCCTGTAAACTTTTTAAGCTTGCTGTTGTGACTTTGTTTCTTAGACTCTATAAAGGTATTTTTTGCCTTTGTGTGTACTTGTTAATTCATATTCACCATACATTTTTTAACTATTTGGGAAAGCAGTGAAGCCAACTGGTAGTACGAATTAAAGACTGAATGCCAATGAAATGAAAAAAGTAGCCATGACAATTGATGCTGTGCTGCTAAAGGTTACTGCAGTTACAAGCTATATCTGGCAGTACCCATGTATTCCTTGATATAGTTTTACAAGTTGTTTTTTAAATAAAGCTGCTTAAAGACCTTGAATTGGTGGGGTAGGGTAATAAGATATAATAATCTATTTTTAATTGAAGTACATCTCCTCCTAGACACTGTGCTGGTATTTCAGGTGCTTGAAAGCCCAAATGTTAAGGAGTTTGTGTGTCTGTTTTTGACTGCCAGTTATAAAAAAAATGGACAATTTAAATGGTAGTGGTTTGGGGAGGGCATGGTTGTTTCTCAGTTATGGGAACACCAGCTGTCCTTATATGCTTTGACTGTATATCTGCAGCCTTTTTCCTGTTTCCTAATTGTGTGGTTTCTAAATATTTGTGCATATCAGGAACATCTGAGAAGCCTGGGAGGAAGACCTGAAGACTACCTGTCCTGAACTTGCGATACTGCTGCTTAAAACAAGGTGAACGAGAGCTGTAGTGGCCTAGAAACAAATCAAACAAAAATGTAACTAGGATTCAATTGCTGTTTTTAAAGCTCATTTTCAGGACTGGTCACAATCTTTACATGATTTGCTACAACTTACACCAAGAATTTTTTTAAGTTGTGTAATTTTGTTTTGTTTACATGTTTAATAACGAACAATTAAAAACTTGTACGTGTGGCTTGTTCAGTTTGTATCTTCAGGTTCTACTTTACAGTCTTTTTTATTTGAGATCTCAACACTGTTGGTATTTGTAAAGTTCTGGATGGAAACCATTATTGGTTTCTCCTCTTCCTTTCCTCCCCTTCATGTAAGGTATATTTGCAGAAGGCTTTTGGATCACTTCTGGTTTTAAGAGAAGTGATTGAGATTTTTTTTCTTTTTGTTCGGAATTAAAGAAAAACCTGTATATTTTTGTGTTGATTATGAATTAAAGTACAACTGTTTCTTGTTCAGTGTTTTTTTTTATTTGAGTTTGAAAGATTTTTCTTACTACAGCACAGGGCTCTTTAAAGTGGTGTGTGTAGTTTGGATTACATTTGCAACAGGTTTAGTACGTTCTGTCGAGCAGCAGATTGAAAGAGCTACACCAGTCCCTACTTTCTGCTTCAGGTTTTTTCATTATTTTTTTCTTCTGTCATTCAAGTAAGTTGAACTTAACACTGTCACAGGTCTGTTAAGGGAGTTGTGGTGGTATACATCAATATAATGATTACTATCCAATATTTTGCAATGGTCAAATTCTGGACTTAATTCTAGTGAAACTGAGTTTCTGCACACAGGCCATATGATTATACTACAAAGTAAAAAAGTATTTATAAGACAGTCATACAGCCAATTCAGAGCTTACCCTTTATGCTATATCATCACCAAAATAATGTAAGGATAGTCTGTTTTCATTTAAAATAGTTACATCCATCATAAGTCTGAAGTTGAAATCTACGTTGGTTCCATCTCCAGTGTCAGTAAAGCAATTTCATTACTTTACTGTTAACTATTGTAAATGTGTAGCTGACATGCTGTGTATTTAGTCCTGTGCCATCAACAGCACAATCTTTATGCAGACAAGATGGTAAAAGTGGTATCTGTAGAACTTTGTGTATTCCACTTGTATGAAAGCAGAATGCTGTTGGTACTTAATAGTGTAGTTCTGTGAAGTAACCTAAAAACTGACACATTTGGAAAAACAAATCTTTAATAAAACTTTCACTGTAACAAAGTTTATACATACATTTTGGTATTCTTATACAATTCAAGTTTTTTTTTTTACAAATTCGGTTTGTAATTTAATTGCACACTTGCATTTGAACAATTTTCCCTAAAGAAGAATCTTAAAAACTTAAAATACAGTACAAAAATAGTTCAGCTTGTTACAAACTTGGTGCACTTCTCATAATTACAGCTGCATAGGTGACTTTAACAAATCCTGTGTACAGGACAAAGCTCAGTATAAAATGATACATTCACCTCAGGTCTTCTGACTCTTCAAAAAGGCACTGTGTAAGCGTTTCATGGCATCATGCTAGTCCAGCATCTTTAGCCATGCCATAAAAAATGCCTTTCATTGCTAGTAGGTTTGATGTCGTATCAAACTCTGCTATCTGGCCCTTGTCCAAAACAAGGATCCTGTGGATAAATTAAACAATCAGTCAAAGGAATAAATGGGCAATATTCTGGTATGCACATTAAAACTGAAACATCCTGTGAAGAGCTAATTTTATTTTGATGAATGCTTTCTCTTGTTTCCTACAGCAGAGCTTATTCAGATTCAGCTAGGAATAAGTAACTTGGGCTAAAAAGAATACCAGAAAGGCTTATTTTCCTTGAACAAGATCACCATGAATGAGTCGAAATCTGAGTGAAATATTTTCCTTAACAGTCATTAAATGAACATTATGTACACATACCAAGAAACACTGATCACATTTTAGTCTGAAATCTTTTCTCTTCAACAAATACTTTCAAAGTTCTTAAATGGTGTAACCAATACGATTTTAAGAAGTATTTTATAAAACATGCTCTGTGCTAGTATTAATACCAGTTGAATCTGTCTGAAGAAATCACTGTGGAGAGTCTTTGTGTGCTAGACATTTTACCTTGTGTAGTCCATGATGGTGTTAAGCCTATGTGCGATTGTGAAAACTGTGGAGTCTTCAAACTGCGTCCTGATGGTGGACTGGATCAAGTCGTCCGTCTCTAGGTCTATGGCAGCAGTGGCTTCATCTAGGATCAGGATGCGCGTCTTCCTCAGCAAAGCCCTTGCTAAGCACACCAGCTGCCTCTGCCCTACACTGTTAACCCAGAAACCGAGATTATATACACCTGGGCTCTTACAAAGTAGGGTCTTTTCATCTCTAATACTTGAAAATGTATTTTGCTTAAAATAATATTTAAACCAGGTTAGCACACAGAATTTTTAGGGCGCTAAACAAAATATTCAGTTATTCTTTAGTTTCTTGAGGAAAGCACAAGATGCATCACTTGAATGGTACACAAATTCTGTTTCCTCAAACAGTTCTTTAGTCTCTGCTGGTATACCAACATGATGTTGACTTTGAATGAGTTTATTTCTTCTTGTGAAGTTAATAAAGAGAAGAAACTTCGTTTTAAAATGTCAAACACAATCAAGTGATTGCTTTCAAATAAAAAAAACATTTTTACTGCATACCATATTCATTTTGATTTTGGCCTGTATTAACAAAGCCCTTACTCCTAATCCCAGTGAAAGGATAATTTGAGGAATTAAGCCATCCAGAGAAATGAGGGGAGCTAAGGTGATAGCAACACAATTAGTACATCTGGTAAATGACACGTGTTGGTGTATTTGGAAACTTTGGAAACAGCTTTGGAAACCTGGAAACAATGTTATTTGCGCATTGGAAGGAAGTGGGGGTGTTGTTTACCTGAGGTTTTCTCCCCCCTCTGAGCACTCATAGTTTAATTTTGTCTCCTGGCTGCTAACAAACTTCTTGAGGTGGGACAGTTCCAGAGCTCTCCATATGTCTTCATCAGTGTACTGCTCGAAGGGATCAAGGTTCATTCGCAGGGTGCCAGAGAATAGCACGGGTTCCTAGATTGATTGCAACAGTCATGAGAATTAGCAGGGCTTTCATTAGCTAATTTCTGCACATCACCCAGGATGGGCTTTAGGCTCAATAGCAGTACACAATAATTATAAATGTCAAGGAAACAAGACCGTGGGTAGTCCCGATGGGACTGGTAGGAGGTGGGGCTGTATTATTAGCCAGCTGGGATTCTCCCAAAGTGGGAGTGGGCCTGAATCCGCTAGGGATTTCCTCAGCTCTGAGGACTTATGGTGTAACCTGCAAGCTCACAGTGAAAAGGATAAACGACTCCAAAGGTGGACAAGTCAAAGGTGTCTGCCTACATTCTCATCTCCACCTGTGTGCAGTGTTGGGGAATGTAGCTGTGAGCCGAGTCGTGAAAACCACACGACTGGAATCGGTGAACTGGAATGGCTTTTCCAAATCATGCAGAGATATTTGTTAAAATAACAAACAGGATTATTGTGCACAGAACATTTCATTCTATTATTTAAATTGATAAGTGTTATAATTTACACAAACTCATTTACAGTTTAAGCTATTGAGTCAAAATGTTAAAAACCATGAATAGTTTAAAAGACATGCAACCAGAATCATGGCTGGAAGTGTGGACCAGGAGCTCACCTGAGGAATGATAGTGAGTTTGGATCTGAGGTCATGAAGACCGATTTCGGAGATCTTCACCCCATCAATGGTGATCTCTCCCCCAGCTGCTTCCAGGATCCTGAACAGGCAGAGGGTCATAGAGGACTTGCCTGCTCCCGTTCTTCCCACAATTCCAATCTGCAGAAGGCCCACAGAGAATGCACCCATCATTCACTTTACAGCTTTACAGATAGTTTACAGCTACCACTGGTTTTTAGAAGACAGACAAAATGGAGAAGAGCAGGCACTGTGACAGATGCATGTTCTCTTGCTCTCTAGGGCTTTCACCAGATCAGCTAATGAATGACCAGACAATTGGATGAGTCTGTCAAACTCAAGCACGGAGGTCATTTGCAGGTTTGCCCTGTACAACACAAAGTCGGGATTTGCTTATTCAGACTGTATTTCAATATCCCAAACTCCATCTGTCTAGCAACCACCTAGTCTGTTACGGCCACAAGCATGGTGGTACTACATTGCCACTACTGAAGGCACATCAGAACACTTGTTTAAGCTTATTGCATTACATTTGTACTATGCAACCTGTTGCATAGTTCCACCCTGAACCTTTATACTAGGCTTCTGTAAATCGGCAGATGAAGTTAACACCGACAACTATAACAGCCCTTAATGTTACTTGTCTTGCACTGATTAGAAAGGCTCTTGTAGTGATAGCTCATGGACCTGGCTGTTCATAGGTAGTTACGTGTCTCCTGGCTGACTGACCTTCTCCCCTCCCTTGACGGAAAGAGTGAGGTTCTTCAACACCAGGTCCAGCCCCTCCCGATACCTCACACTGTACTTGTGGAACTCCACCGTCCCCTGAGAGGGCCAGTCCGGAGGGGGCCTTTTGTCCTCAATGACCCAGGGGGCCTGAACAGCAGAACAGCAGCAACAATGACTAGTTACAGAGCAAATTGTTGTTACGGGTAATGTCTGATTGACCCTTAGTTTTAAAACATTTTTAGTTTAAAAATTCTAAAAGGCAAATATATGCTGATCTCCCCCTATCTAAAACAGTAGTTCCCAAAGATAAGTCAGCATACTGTATATTATAGCAATCTCTGGAAACCTTTTGCCAAAAACTAAGCATATCATTTAACATTCCATGTTGTGACAATAGAGAAGCATGTTTAAATAGCATGGTATATTTTTTGTGAAAAGAACATCAATTCTGCTGTCTTAAGGATCTATTCTTCAGGGGTGACACAGTAATGCTGTGGTTAGCATTGCTACCCCAAGGTTTGATCTGGATTGGAACACCTTCTGTGTGGAGCTTGTATATGCTCACTATGATCATGTTCAGGTGCAAGTTTGTAATCTTGACAAACTGGCAAGATTAACTAGCGTCTCTAAAATTGTCACTGTGTTTTTGTGTGTGTCCCATCATCCCATCCAATATGTACAGTAGTCCGCCTTGCGCCATTTGCTTCCAAAACAGGCTCTTTCCAGGAATTAGTGAGTTTCTGGCAATGGATGGATGGATGGTTCTTTCCTCAACATTAAAACCCTGTACACATCTTTATCCCCGACTAAAAACAGTGCAGATCTCTCACTGTGTCAGAGCGATTTCGACATTTTACACCCTGCAACCCTCACAGTTCTTTACAGGAGAGTTGTCCTCAATTGCAGGAGGGATAGAGCTGACCCTGCCAGGGCTACCAGGCTCAGATCCAGGTGCCTGCATAGCAAGATAATCCTGCTGACTCAGCCCTCCTGTCTGGGTAGTTCTAGTTACAACAGACATAGCGCAGGCACAAATAAATTACACTTGGAGTATCTGACTTCATCTGGGATCAGAACAAGCAAAATTAATAGTGGGTCTCTCCCCAGCTGCCCTCAGACTAAACTTTTTTTCCTCACATTGAAGATACAGCTGCTGTCACAGCCACCTACCTCGGTCTTTGTCTCCGAGTACTCCTTTACCCTCTCCACAGCCACGATGTTGCTCTCCAAGTCAGAGCTCATCCTTACCAGCCAGTTCAAAGACATGGTGACCTACGCAGTATCATTGCAAACAAGCTTATTCCAGCACACCCAAAGTAACTGTCAACACTTATCCAGCCTTTCAAACGACAATACGTTATTGTTGTAAATGTTATGCTTATTGTTATTGCTTGAACAACAACTGTAATGCATCAGTTGTACCAACAATCATCCCTCAGGATTCAACATTCTTGTAGAATACAAATATTTCCACAAGCTTAGAGGAATGGATAAAAGCATCCCCATTTGTTATTGAAGCAGAGAAAAAATATTAAGTTAAAGGTAAAGCTAAGAGCTTGTTATTAAACTGATATCTGAAACGAAGTACTGTATCTCTTAGGGAACAAAAATGTGAGGTGAAACTGCATTTAATAAACATTCAAACATGCACATGCACTAGTAAGATGACAGTAAGGTAAAAGCTTCCTTCCTTGAGCACAAATCTGCTAACATTTGAACAAAACCTTGTGTCTCACTCACCTGTAGGGCATAAGACACAGAGAGTCCCACAAGGCCTGGGCTCAGCGTACTTTTTCCAATCACTGCAAACAGTGCAGCGAAAAGCACAATGCAGTTCCCAATGAATTCAATACGGACTCCAAGCCATCTGCAAAGCGCACAGGTGGAAAAAAGCAATGCTTCATTTTACCAATGCAATACAATTTCATTGCAATTTGTCATGCACAAATTTGTCATGCACCATGATACCGTACTTGTGGCAATATAAGCCCTTAAAGTATGCAGCAAGCAATCAAAGCTAAGTTTATCACAACAAACGTACTCTACTGATCACTACAGTGTATGTACTGTACTGTGTTATAGATGCTATAGACGTTAAGTGATCCTAGGATATTTACCAAGCCAGAAGTTTATGTAAACAGTTGCAGCCCAATTTCACTCATATTATTATTACTTTACTTTAAATGAATGCCTGAAAAAATAAATTTAAGTTATTAGGCTGTACACACAGTTTGAACGATTCAAAAATTGTTTCATTATGTTTTTAATATAAGTTTTCTTTAGCTGTTTAGAAAGAAATGTAACAGTGGGGCACTTTACTCGTTGCTCTGATGTATGAACTGGTGAAGCTGGAGCTGCATGATGTCAGAACGACATTCAGTCATAGAGGATCCAAAGTCTGCATCCATTCTTTCTAAATCCCCGTGTCTGCATCTGTTCTTTCTAAACCTGTCTGTGGGCTTTATTTGAATGCTGTCTGTCTAAGGAGTTTGTGATGTGAAAAAATAAACTTGCCTGTTAGAAACAATACCAGGGTAGTAACTCTTCTGATTCTCATCTACTTTCTCATCACTTATGAGCACAAAGGCCTTATGTCGGTCGTAGGCCCGGATGACACTTGTGCCTGTGATGGTCTCCGAGAAATGGGAATAAATAGGAGATCGACTGACCGATTCCAGGCGTTTAAGTTGCCGAGACGTGGCCACATAAAACCTCTATGGTGATAAAAAAAATAAAACTTGAAACCTCATCATAATCTCAGTGGATACACAACACACAAGAGAAGGTTCAGATCAGAAAGCATTTACTTTACATACTGGAGAGAATCTACCTACTTAGTGGTAAGGTAGGGAAGATCTCAATCTAAAAATTCCTATTTCAAAAAAGAAAAGTCACCAATATTAATCTGAAGAATCCCTTATTCCTAAAACTTTTTTTACATTTATTCCCAAATCAGAAAATACATTATGAAATTAATACTCTGTTTTTGTGAAAACATCTTGACATACTGCAGAAGAAATCTGTGTCTGTATTTCCCAGATCTAATAGGTGTATCAGTGCAGTGCTGCCATACAGATATCTTACAAGTAAATGCTTCATGAACCTGAACCAAAGTTGTTTAAAGAAACATTCACATCTATGAACAACATTATATTTCTATAATACAAGAAAAATTCATACTAATCATTTTACTTTATTTAACAAAATGTTTAAAAATGCTATCATAATGTTGTAGTATATGGTTTGGCTTTGGACATTTATATTTCTGACTTCTATACAACAAATGTGTTTTGTAGAATATGTCTCTTAACAGTTTGGTAAGAATTGTATATTTCTTTTAAACACAACATTTCCCTTTCGTTGCAACACTGGCAACTACTAAAATGATGGAGATAATTCCTCAATATTTTCTTTAGTCTCTTCAATGTACAGCATGCTGGTAATAAACACTATTCTTGTCAGAATACAGTATTTTTTAAAACAAAATACAAGCAGGACACATGCCACAGCCAACAGTTAAAAGAATTAAGCAGGCATGCAAAGAAATTACCCACTGCAAAAACCAGGATGTAAAGCACAGATTTGCTTTTAAGAGTCTAGATTTGCTTTTAAGAAACTAATTTCAATTCAGAAAGAACAGAATATGAATCAATTAATTTGGACCTTAAGCAGATTAAAGTTTAGTCAGCTGAGCTGTCAGTGCAGAACACAGATTGTTCCCAAAAAGAATACAATAAGATGAAGAATAAAAAAATGAGGGAATTTTAAAGTTCCACCCATACATTTTCTAACTGCTTTATTCCATACGGAAGGGGGGGTGGGGGTGGAGCCTATCCCGGTATGCAAACGGCACAAGACAGGATACACCCTGGACAGGGCGCCAGTCCATCACAAGGCTCACAAAGACACAAACACAGACACACTCACACAAGGGCCAGTTCTCTTAAAAACCAATTTACCTACCAGAGCACCCTGAGAAAACCCACATGAACACGGGGAGAGGGTACAAACCACACAGATACCATCCCAGGTCCAGAACTGAACCCAACCCCCCAGTGCTGTGAGGCTGTAGTGCTAACCAATGTGCCCCCCAAGTTCAATGTTATCAATGTTATCATTGCTAATGCTTTATACTAAGTTACTTACATTTGCTTCCATTTATACACCAGCATTTTACAGCTGCAATCTAAGTGAAGGAGCTGCTCAAAGGCCCAACAGCAATCCTAATGGCTGCTCCACACAGCTGCCTCACCAGCACACTCACTGTAACCACTAAAAAGCAGGAATCATTCCAGAAACAGGCCTCTCTATAGCTATCACTGTGTGGAGTGCAAATGATGGCAATCCATTTGGCCTAAGACAGACCCAAGCCCTTCTACTCTCCCCTGCTACTTGGAATTGGTAGGAAACCCCAGACAGGAATAAGGCACTGCGTGCTGGATGACTCCCGATAGGAGTGCACATTGTTTCAGATGTCATTGGTACATGCCCAGACTATACCATTAGCAGATGTAACCTGGATTGCCTCGTGGAGATGCATATTTGGTTATGCACATCCAGGGTTGGGTGGGCTAGCATCACTAAGGTTATCCTTGGTTCATGCCACAGCAGCCAGTCCTGCGATCTGCCTGGCATCTCCAAGCCTGTAGTACTGTCAGTAAGAGAGGTGCTGCAGCTCCAATCAATACCGACTGTCCTACAAGACACTGTGGAGCCAGCAATGCATCAGATAACAAGGAGCACAGACAAGAGTGCCTGCACAGGTGGTTTAAAAGTCACCAATTATAAATTAAGTAGTTAAAATTCATAGTAACACGAACTGGTGATTCCAAACTTCTTAAAGAAATGTTCATAAATAACCTCAAGTCCAGTACCACAATAGTTTTGGCACAGTACTGTATGTTACAGTAGCAGGATGCTCCTTAACTCGCGTTTGAGAGTGGGAAAATGCATCAACCAGTTGTTGGAAAAAACTTAGGATTTACGGAAAGCCTACATGTGCATTTAGACAGCTGTTATGATGAGACAGGAAATATCCTATGAGGGATTTCCTAAGACAGAAACGGTTTTCTGTAAGACCACACTGCCTGTGTGGGACTAATGTGTCTGAGAGAAAGTTGTGTTACACTTTTCATTTGTCACTGGCCAAGGAGGTCAATGATACCTTGGCTTCAGAAAGCATACTTCTGAGTCATACACAGACTTAGTGCCTGTCAAGGCTCAACAACAGCCTTCAAGACATTTCCTGCTTCTAGTTTGACCAAAATAGCAACTTTTTGTTTGGATCATTATCTGACTTTTGACATACCAAAAATGTACCGTCGGCCTCAACAACAAAATAGAAAAGAAAGATCATATAACCAAAATAAGACTGTCTGACCTTGAACATGGTGCGAATTGATTTTTTAATGGCAGTACCAGCTTGATTTTAAAGCGAAATGATCCTTAACATCAATAACTTTATGTAGCAACTAATATTTATGAGACTCTACAAGACTGTTTTGTTCAGTCTTATAAAAACTGTAACATACTGTAAGCACATCTAAAGAACTCCATAAAGATGTTAAAGGCTCCTATTAAGGGGTCGCTTTCCATTCTGTAGGCTGGATTTATTAAATGAAACCCTTAGAAAAACATACAGTGCAACAGGCCCAGACCTTAGTCATTCATATTACCATTTACCACGTGACCTCCATTTTTCTCGGGAATTGCTAGTTCCAGGTTTTAATCCTCTCCCCCTTCTTTCATAAGGTCAGAACAATCAAATCCATTTATCCAACTTTCTGCTCAATTTATCAGCAGCACTTTCTGATTCTGTAATCTCTCTAAATACTGTACTTCAAAGTGCAAAGGAGTGACTGTATAAAGTTATATCGGCCATCAAAATAGACCAGCAAATCTACTTAACCAAGACTGTTCCCATCAAGATTAGAGGTTCTGCTGCCTAAAAGGAAAACGCATGTTTCTACAAGAGTTGTACTGAAGTCTAAAATACTATTTTATAAAACAATGCCTCTCCAGATATAATAAAGGTTCTGCCATACCAGGTACTAGACAAATATATAATCTGAATGGAATTTAAAGTGAAAGCAAGAAACAAATTCAAATCAAGCTTCTGCCACACGAAAGAAGAAAGCCTGAATCATCTTAGGGAAAAATCATACAAATAGTCTGTGTAAATAAAGCCTCCATCAGATCTTGCTCTGTAGTTCTCTACTGATTGCAGACGTTTTGAAGTTTTAAACCTTTCGTTCTCAAGCCTATGAAAGATTGGAGTCAAAAATACCATCTTGAACCATCAAGCTCATTTTCTCCTGAATCCCATATAAAACTGCTCAGGAGTGTTCGTAAAATGGCTTTTAATAATAATCGGGCCTTGCGGACGTGAGATTGTTATTTCACAAGAGTCACACACGAGCAAACCAAACCAAAACAAAAAGTTTTGTTAAATTACTAATGCAGACGTTTTTTAAAAATCAGTCACTGACAGTGTTCACGAAGGGCTAGGTCACTGTATATCAGGCATACAGCTTAGCAGTGACACTTCACATACTTTAAACCACATCCTGGAAGGTACTGTAGTTAACAGTTTCTGGGTAAAGTAGCCAAGTAAACATATCAATAGCAACAGGTTAATATATGTCCAGTCCAAAATTGCAGTGGGAAAAAAAGAGAATATTAGTAAATGGATTCAATTTGATGAGCTGTTACTGGAAAGAATGAATGATAAAGGGCTAGATTGGCATTTCAGGAGTTGCAGTTAATAGTTTTTTAAACTGGCAAACTGGCAGAACAGCCCTTATAAAAGTTTACCTGTCTATAGTCCTGCACAGCATTTCTGCAGTTTCCACATGGTTTAAGTGTACTTACTGTATACCATGCTTGATCACGGTGATGATCCATGTTTTTTATAATCTATCACACCCCCTTCTGTTTTATCATGTACTATGATGTCTCTGTTCCTTCCTGAATTTAACTATACTTGTACCATGGTATACCAGTGTAAGTTTTTATAAAGGAATGCCATACAAAATTAAGTAATCAACCACAATATAATGATCTATTCCACACTCCACCCAGGGCCCATGTCCACATACTAGCACTACAAAAGAAGACTACTACAGAAAACTGCTGATCTTCAATTCCCACTCTACTCCCTTTGAATAATTCACCAGACAAAATGTGAAATCCATACTGCCAATAAAAAGTTGTTTCTTCTTCCTTTTTTCAAATAACACAGGCTTTAAGCTGTTTTGTTATATCACTATGAAGCAGCCAAAAAGCTTTTTTTTTTACAATGAAGATTTTTAAACAAACTCTGATTAGTCATCTAATTTAAATTAGTTTTAGTTTATAATTTCATATGCAATCTTTCCCAGAAAAACTTTAAGAAAGTGAAGCCCAATTTCAACTGTTATGGAGATGGGCAGGGTTTGAAAGAACAGCAGTGAAATCAATTAACCAAGCCCCATTCAAGACTGAGACTCAACCGCCTAGCTAGAGCGACCAAACCATATGGCACCTACAACACTAGGACAGTCAGTCAAACCATGACGATAACACAACAAACACGTGACATGCTGTATTAAATAGTTAGCCAGCTTTGTCCTATTTACCTGGACCCACCAATAGAACATCATTAATGGCACTATCACTATGAGGAAGACAGGGGTGAGGGCAGAGCATATGAGCAGCACGTTTACTGTGTACCAGAAAGTGCGCATCCAAATATCAATATTGTCAGGGATGTAATTGTCAATAATATCCACATCTTTGCTGAAGCGGTTCAAAATTCTCCCTGAGGGAGTGGCTTCAAAAAAACCCTGAGGAGAGCGAAGGATGGTCTGGAGCATGTTCTGGTGAATCATCCGGGAGGCCCTCAGCATGCTGTAGGCTCGGCACAGAAAACAGAGCCCCAGCACAAGTGCACCTGTGTAGCAGCACAATGAGAATAATATGAATTCACAAAGCACAGAATAGCTGCAACACTTAAGTAAAAGGTTTGTATTGAGTTCTCTTTGGACAGTTTGTTCACCCATTTAGTCCTGCACAGCACTGTTTGACTGCTATGAGGCACTGCAGGGTTTATAATTCAAAGGGGAGAAAAAATGGTGTTAAAACAAAAGAACATCCCTAATTTACAGGGAACCAATGATTCAGAAATAGAGGAAGATAACAGCAGGCATGACTCCAGATAGAGGAATTACCTTGGAGAGGACGAAAAACAAACAAGCATTGTGACAGGAAGGATTTAAATTGAAATCCTTTCACCAAAACAAAACATCATGACGTTGTAAATAACACAGAACAGGATGCTAATCCAATATTTCCCAATACATATCGTGAACATTGTTTTTAGGAACCAATGTTTCACTTCATTTATACAGGCTAGTGTTCTTTCTAGACTTATGTGTGAAGCTTAGTTGCTTTGTTCAGTGTATTACACTGTCTTTTTTCACTGTAAACAAGTTACATAAGGGCTAGAAATACTGTACAAGATTCTAATATGGAAGAGGAACAAATGACAACCTTTCTTCTTTCTCTCTTACAGTAGACACATATTTCTTGGAATGCCATGCAGAATGCCTTCTCCCGAACTCTGCTTCCTCCCCAATAAGTCACAACACCCCCCTCCCCTTCAGCTGGAAAAGAATAACAGTCTGAAAGAATTCCTCACTTGAACAGCACCTGTAATGAATACCGATCTTAGTTAGCTGTATTCTGACTGAAGAAAAAAAAATGTTGTCATTTGATGTGACAAATAACATGAAATAGTGTCTAGTTGTTTCTTGCTTCCTAAACAGAATACCTAATAAAGGCAGACACCTAGAACTGTGGAAAGTGCTTCATCAAAGCCTGCAACGATGAAAGGTGTAATGTCAAAAGATGTCAGAAACGAACCTCTATAGCTACAGAGTACATTTCTACATGTACAAAATATAAATAAACCCATATCGCTGGCACTTGTTTAAATGTTTAAACAAGGTACATTATGATCATAAATACTCTCGAAACACAACATACTGTACACCTGGTTTGTACCATTATTCTTTTCAATAAAAGAGTTGAACATGAGCCTACACCATGCACATGAAATATCTAATAAATAAGATTGGAACTAAATAAATCCAAATATGTGGAATCATATTTTCACTAAAGACACTGAAAAGCCCACGAGCAAATCAAGTGTCAAATCACCTCTTCCTAAGCCCAGTCTGTTGCCAAAGTTGACTGCTGAAATCGCCAGTGATTGGCATCACCATCACAGCATCATTTTTCAATATTAAATATGTTAAATTTTCAATGTCGTAAAAAATCAGTCTACCTCTATAAAGTTCCAATATGCAGAACACTGTATCCTCTAGGAGGTAATTAGCTGTGATACTGACTAGGTCTGTTGGATAGTTGGAACAAGCAGGAACCAAGCCCCATTCCTTTGCTTTAGCAGTACAGCACTTGATAAACTGAGCCAAGAGGTTCACCCCATTATTTGAAGCAAATGAATGGACAAATCCATTCATCACCCATAACTGCTTCAACATATAGACTGGTGTGGCAAGCCAAAGCTGAACCTGGCAGACACAGGCTACAAGGTGGGAGTACAGTCTGAACAGGTTACCAGTTCCAGTATGTCTTCATAAGGTGAGAGAAAGACCACACAAACCGGGACAGAGCATGCAATCTCTGCATAGAAGGTTCCTCAGCCGAGAATTCAACCCCACCCTAGCTGTGAGAACTAAGCTGCTAAGCCCCTCGCCACTGTGCTGTATAAAAACACATCACATACGCACTGACACAGTCCAGGCTTCTCTCTCCAGGCTAGATTAGTCAGCTGGAATGAACCAGGCCACTTGGAAGAGAAAACATCAAAAGTTCACTTATCTGACATACAAAAAATCAATTTACAGACAAAAGCAACTTAGCTAATGCTGTGATTAAAAAAAAAAAAATTCATTAAGAAATAAGGTACATGTAACAGTAGCTTTCTTCCATACCTTGGATCTGTTTTACAAGGAAATCAAAATGCTGAAATACTGCTGTTATACCATAAGTATGTGCTTGCTTGGCTTACAGCATCTTTGAATCAAATGTAAACGGGTCGACAACAAACAGTTTTAAAAAAACAACTTAATGCCTGGCTATAGTACATGAACTGAGCAATAACCTTTAAATCTTTTTGCTAGCCATCCGTCTCCCTCCACCCTGAAGCTTGTGCAATACAAGCCTGACACTGTCCTGTCTGGACTTGCTGCACACCACAATCTGAACAGTGGAATTATTCAAAGAGCATGGCTACTGAATTACAGGAACAAGACTGTTTGCTGTATGGTAGTGTGCTCAATTCTATTACAAAAATAGTATTACAGGCCGTTAATGCAATTAGTCGGACTATTCAAATAACTATTATGAAAACAAGAAACTAGTGTAATTTATGATGGGAGGAATACAAATGGTGAATAGGTTATCGTAGACACTAGAGGGCGCCACGGTCATCATTAGAACTCTACAACAGGTTTCTCCTCGCCTGGTCCAGGAGAGAATCAATCCAGTAAGCCTTATAAGTCACCCCAAATCACCCGTTTTCAAACACAGGGCTGCAAAGGTCTTGATCAGTTAAGCAAATATTTGCGGATGTACTGCATGGAAAGTCTGGTCCTTAAGAGTTGGTAATTTCTGTCCCAAAAGATTTTTAAATGACTTCTTTCAGAATGAACATTTTCCAGGTCTTCAAAAACTGATGACTGAAATGTTACCCCAAATGAATCAGGACCCTCCAGGGGCAGGGCTGAAGAAGATCTAAGGGCTCACACCATCATGGGTACATTGTTGGACATGCTGAGCCAACAGAGTGCCCTCTGGTGAGTGCAGTCTTTGCCCACAGGAATGAATCGTCCAAAGGCTCCGTTTGTGTAGCAATTTTCTACTAGAACGTTCCAATAAAATACAGCTGTCTCAATACAGCTGCCGGAATAGGCCAAGTAAATTTAAAATTCCCCCCCTCTCCCAATATACCCAGTATGGAAAACAGTACTAAACTGCACTTAAAATTCCTTCACTTGCTCCTGTTCAGCTATATAAAATTGCTGTTTGATGCCAGAGCAAATAAAAATAAGTCATTTAAGTTTAAACTAAACTGGAACAAATCCAGTAATTCAAATTTCCAATACTATGGTACACATGCTTGCACGTCATTGTTCCTGGCCGGGCTTAGTTAAAAATGCTTTTCAGTCGAGTCAATCGATTTTGAACCAGCCCTTTCAAGCTGTATGAATCATCCTGAACCTTGCAGCTGAAATCAGGAAAGTGTACAAACTTTCTGTACTGCTATGGACCCACACCCTCACCCCACCATCAACCAGCCTGGCAAAATGGGATTTGACAGTTCATGTATTTACATATGGAAAGGAGGAAAACAGCAGAAGGCCTGGAATCAGAGGACTGCAGAGGGGAAAGGAGATGGTGATGTGCCGTTAGGAAAGACAGAAAACATGACGTGAAGACAGAACTCACAGGCCCAAAGGACCACATCTCCACAGCCGAAAGGAGCCCCGTTTAAAAGACACTTGGTTTCTGTTTGTGTTACATTTGAGCAGGTCGGTTTGGGAGACACAGCATTACAGTATTACAGCTGAAATCTACTTTTATGACTTTTTCTCTTGCAGCTTTCCTGTAGAGTTTGAATGACTAGTGAACTACGCTGTTAATACTGTCATTTGGCTGAGCTGCAGAAAAAACAATTGAGGAAACACTGCTCTTTGTTTGGTGAGCAGTCCATGTTAAAGCCCCACACTTTTCACAAAACATAGAAAATTAGAGGTTGATTTTAATTTGGCTTGTAATGTGGACTGTCTGTTCAATGGCTTTTTAATTACGCATAAAGAGCTGTTGTCACTTCATGACAACAATACAATTTTTAAGCCCTCCAGTAAATCTTGATCCCCCCCTCCTATTTTTTTTAATATCCAGTTTTGTAAACACTGTAAACACGTACAGAAAGCCACTCAGCAGCCAGAGCCAAATGACAGTTAAGGGACATGACGAAGCCAAGTGAAGTCAAAGAATGGACCTAAGCGATCATTCACCAGGGACAAGAGCACACATTAAGCGGCATTTTCTTTGGCAATTCAATCATTAACTTGTTGGGAGTTTATGAAAAAGTACCTGGACAAAAACGTAAACAAGAGCGAGGGGCACAATGACCACAGCAAAGATGGGGGTTGTGGCCATGATCACAATCATAGTGGACAGTGAGACGAAGAGGGTGGCCAGGAACATTAGGATTGTGGGCGGGATAAGCTCGTCAATCACGTAAATGTCCTTGGAGAAGCGATTGAGAATGCGCCCTATGGGTGTGGTGTCAAAAAAAGACTGAGGCGTCTGAAATTTATTCTCTAGAAGAGCCGAGTGCAGATTCTTGGCGGCTCCAATACCAGCCAGGGTCAGTGTGAAGGAGGAGATGAGCACCAGCAGGCCTGTTTGAGGAGAGGACAAGGACAGAGAGTGGTGAGTGACTGGAATGATGGAAGGACACAGCTGAAAAAAAAAAGACAAGGTTTGTGACATGAGTGGGTGGTGCCTTGGTTAACAATCAAATGAGATGACATCTTAAATAAGAACGAAAAAGTGTGGCGGAAACATGGCATCGCCCACACGAGGTTAGGAAAAGGTGAACACCACTGGAGCACTGGAACTGTTCACAGCAAGACAAACTGAAGTCATGAGTTTGCTCTGCTGGTTTGAAAATAAATTTGCCTATGTTTATGGTGTATTTTAAAAAAAAGTTTCGCTTGGGAGCACAACAACCACTTCTTTTGGCAGGACAACAACAGGAACAAACTTTCAAAAAATGTATCCCTGAAAGAGAACATGTGGAAGTTAAGATAATTAAAAAACATCATATTACTAAATTGCTTATATTGCATCTTTTGACATCGTTTAAAATGGGTCCACTTTTTTATTTCCACATTATATTCCCTCTAATAATGTATAAAGGGTGAACAAGAGAACACAACTGAAGCCTTTTTCAGATATTAATGATCAGGACTAGAGATAAGCACTGAATTGATGTTTAATGTTGTGTTCAATATCGCACTGATAATCACACCAGGGGGACAATCAGCTGATTAGCAAAATTATTAACATTTTCTAATTATATTTTTCCATTTCACTGCAGAAAATCCAAGGTTTGGTTTAAAGCCAATAAAAGACCACCTTTGTTAAGAAATGAAGATCAGGGAAAGGCTTTCAGAGAGCAGGAGTCCAATTTTTCTTTTACTTACAGTACATGGCAGAAAACAGGGCATCCACATTTTAAAACTAATCAAATCCTCAGCAATTTTAAAAGTGGAAAACCAAAAGGTACATCTTACACAGATGCAATGCAGTTATGTGTGGTCAGACCTGTGCCATCCACTATCCTGATTTAATAGTCTTACTGTACTGCCTTCCCTCTGCAACTCTGACTCACCCAGCTGTAGGTGATGCTGACACACACCAAGCCAACTCTTTTGCAATAAACACAATACAATGCACATTTGCATTTAAAAAAATAATTATTTTAGCAAATGACAGTAATTCTCTCACATTTCACATTTATGTAGCTGTTTGAGTGGGGAGCTGTGTCAATGTGCCACTGACTGCCAAGCACCAAGTAAAGATAATTCCACACGGAGAAATAGAAAGACAACACGCGGCATGTCTCACACATGATGAAAGCTGACTCATTTGGCATCTTCTTTCTACTGTGCAGTGTGGAATTGACCTTACCTGGTTCCTGTATTTCTCTAGCGTCCTACACCAACAGAGACAAGCTGGAAAGGGTGATAGAGGGCCCTTACCTTGCGTCATCCCCAGTGCGGCATACACGCCCACTCGCATTTGAGTGTCCACCTGCGTCCCGTTCTTGGGCACATCGTTCGTCCAGGCGCTCAGCCACACGTTGGCGCCTATAGCTGCCGCGTTCTGGCAGGCGTACAGGAAGCAGATAAAGACGGAGAAGAAAGGCCCGACGGCCTTGATATATTCCAGAAACACTTTCAGCTTCACCTGGGCGTTTGATGGAGAGGAGTGCAGAGGTTAGGAAACGTATCACAGACAAGGCACTGCGTCCAAGGAGCTTGCCTGTTCCACTTCTTAAGACAGAAACATTCCCTGAATAGTCTACATTAAAAACTAAGAGCGCCATACAAACAGAAGTCCCTTCATGTGGTTGGTGAACTCCTCCACAGCCACACACCACAGCAGACAATCTGCCATAAATGCTACTGGAGCTTGCCATCAGTTTGTTACATTCAAATTGCATTGTGAATTTTAGATTTTGTTCCTTTGTGCAAAATGCGCATTTCAAACAATTCAAGATTCAGTAGAACTCAACAGACCTGAGGTTATGACACAAGTGTCAGGACCTCACCCTTCTACTGTAGACTATAATGACCAAACATTTTTGTACTCTAAAATTATACGTTTTCCTGGATCACAATGTCATCAGACAGGGCAACATTATCATAGATCTTCTGAGGGTTACAATCTGTAAAGGTTATCCAACCTTTCTATCACATTGCTTTTCACAACCCCTAAACTGTTTTTTTCAGAACAAAAAAATATACTTTTATACACTATATACCTACTTATATAGGGTATATAATCCTTATACAATTAAGTTGCTGTTTTTTTAAGCAGATTCAGTCATGTCCACTAGAGGGCAGACCGGCACTTACTCTGCCAGTCTCGGCTGTCTCTGCCTGAATGAGTTTCTCGGTCTCCGGTTTCTTCTTTTCCATGGGAGGTTCCACCCTCCTCTTTTCACTGCATCTCCGCCGTGTGGACATTTTCTTTGGGTTATCCATGTCTGCAGACACGACACTGATCTGCCTGCAAGGGATGCAAAAAATGCAAATTGTAAATACGGAAAAAGGAAAAATGGCTTTTCACTCTTGCCAAGTTACCAGCCTGTATTTTTCCTCCAACAACTGGTGAGGTGGTTCTGTTTGTATGATTAAGTTTTTGGTGTTTGGAATCCCTTTGTTGGATATTAATATCTTGTAAATGTGATGGTTCAACTGCAAAACTATCCTTGTGTTCGAGGCTACGTCTGAGGGAAGGTAGCACTCTTAATCACTCCTTATATGTGAACATCAAAAATTCAATAAAAACACAGGTTGTATTATTTTCGGAATTTGGGGGCATTAAAAGAAATACACCGCTCAATGGGTGGTAGCTAAAATCTTACCTAATAAACTGTCTGCGCGCTTCATTAACAACAGGCTCATTGTCTACCATGTCAATGTGGTTACTCAGAGCATCATCTGGGAAGGTTTCTTCGTCTTCAAGCACTGACACTGAATCAGATGAAATTTAAATACACAGTATCATTTGTGACAGCTTTTGACAAGCCACACATAAACAAGCCTAACAGACATGGCCCCTAAGAATATATTCTCTTGGTATATAAATAAAACGACCGTTCTTAAACCCCACCTTGAATGCAAATAAACATTTTACTTATTCTGGAACAGATGTGAGTAACACATTTTTCAGGAAGCATAAGTTAATATTTTTAGTTCTAACCTTTTGAGCGCTTATCCTTAAAAGGAAAATATGTAGTTTCCTAGCAGGATTTTCCCCAGAACAATATATTGAAAATTTCAACTACCCTCAAATTTCATCCAGCATAAATGTGCCAAACAGTTAAATAATAATAGAATTTAACAATAATTTTAATAATGGAAGAAAATATTTAAAGCCCAAAAAAGGTACTTGTAGCTTCTTCTTCCTCAATGAAATCTTCCATCGTATAATTCCTGAGGAATTCGGCAAAGGCTCTATTCTGCTTGAGGAGTTCCTGGTGGGAGCCCATCTCCGACACTTTGCCTTCCACTATCACCACGATGTTGTCCACCTGAGGCAGGAAACTGATGCCATGGGTCACAAGGATTCTGGTCTGTAACATAATCAGGAAAAGGTGAGCTTCTATGGCCACTTTCAGTCTACCATGAAGCTTCAGATTCAAGGAAAACATACAGTGTGAAGCAACAGAGTCCAGGGATTCTTACTTGTCCTCATTTTCCCCTTATTCTTTCTGTGCTCTCCGATCACAAGACAGAGCACCCGCCAGCAGGCTGGTCCTGCTATTCCCCTTACTCTTACTGTACTCTCCGATCACAAGACAGAGCACCCAACTGCAGATTGGTCCTGCTATTCCCCTTACTCTTACTGTACTCTCTGATCACAAAACAGAGCAACTGTAGGATTTCTTACTTGACAACTAAAACAACTTCCAAGCCAGCCAGCATTAATTCCCCCCCACCGAGTACTAGATTACTTCAAGGTCAAGGTACAGTGACAAAATACTGCTGACTGGAGGGGAGAACATCAGTGCTATTATTCAAGCCTTGTTAACTTTAAAAGTTTAAGAACACCTAATCAGCAGTTTAACTAAAACTGAGACTAAACTCAAACTACCTAAAATATTTTTCTTCTCATGCACTCAACATGAGGTTGTCTTCCTTTCACAGCTTTCACTCCTTCGTATCCTAAAACCTGCTTGGACCTTTAGCTTATCACTGAGCTATCAATGTCCTGGGCAGTGCTGGCCTGTTTTAGGAAGGTACTCCTATAGTGATAAGTAATGATGAAAAAAGGAAAAAAAAAGCCATTACTTGAATTCCTTGCATCACAGAGAGGGGCTTTTCCTAAAGAGAACTGCCCTGCTCAGATAACAGAAGGAAAAGCATTTTGTACAATAACACAAATAATAAGCCATACCTTGCCCTGGAGTGCCCCCTCTGGCCCAATAACCTTGTCAAAGATGTGCTTGGCAACGTGGGCGTCGACTGCAGACAGGGGGTCGTCCAGAAGGTAGAGGTCAGCCTCGCTGTACAGAGCTCTGGCCAGGCTGACACGCTGCCTCTGGCCTCCGGACAGGTTGATGCCCTGGGGGTGGGACAACACAAGTCAGAGAAGAGCCAGGTACTCCCAGCCCTCTCTGGCATCTCTCAAACGCCTCTACTCAAACTCTCAGTTCCACAGTTATTCATTCAGAGGAGTAACAGTAATTCAGAATAGTAAATAGTAATAACAATTCTACTCTCCACTCTGAGGTGTTGTGTACGTAACTGAACTGTACTTCAATGATGTGAATGTTCTGACTAATCCACTGCCAAAGAGCTTGCGAAAAATATGTCCAGCCAGTATAATAAATGGGTTAACGGTTTAATTGGCTTGGTCATGGCTGAACAGAAAACAGAAGACACAAAACTCTCCAGGAATTGTGTTTGAAACCCTCAAGATTGTGCTGACTCTGTTCTAATTTATTTCATAAATGTTAGCCTCATTTGTAATAATGACATTTTTTACCTTCTTATAATGAGGTACTTCACAAAATGTGATAATACATTTAATCATTGAAACATTCCACAAGGATGGAGACAATTATGTTTTGCTCTTAGGGTCTAATCATTTCCTACTTGTATCGTAGTTTGCATCTCTGATGTTAATCACCTTTAAAGTGTTAAGAACATTAAGTGAATGAATTCTGTATCAATGTTAATTGATGGTACTGTGTAAGAGTTTAATTCCGAAATGAAAGATGGGGGGGTGACCTGTGAGCCCCAGGTCCAGAATATTGTAAAGGTACTGTTTTTCCATC